ATTCTTCCTTGCTTTTGTGAGTAGAAAACTCAGTGCCAGCTACTTTTGGGGCTGAGAATGAGACAGAGGTTGTGTGCTGTCTGTACCTTGATTCTTCTGCTGAGCCCAAGGTTATAAAGACCCTGGGCATCCTCTTGGCCAGACTGTGTTGTTGCTGAGAGCCTCCCAAGGGAGCAGTGACAGAGGGGGCTGTCCTGGGGACAGCAGTTCCCCTCGTGCCTGTCTTAGTCCCTGGCTTCCCAGGAGGCAGCAGTGTTGGTAGGAGAACTGCTCTCAGTATGCTACACTGACCTTTGGAATTGTGAATTTCTGAGTTCTTCCTACTTGTGGTGGTTTCATTCCTTTGGCTGCAGCCAAACACAGTCACTTGCTCACTCTATCTGGCCTGAACGATCCCTGAGGGAATCCCCCCAATTTCTGGTCAACCCTGGTTAATATACTGACATGACGTAATATGATCTAGAATATCTCATTGGCAGAGCCAAATGCCAGTTTGGGGTTTTGCTAATTACTGCGCTTCTCCCTCCCAGTCCTTTCCACCTATGAACCAGCCCAACACAATGACCTTGCGCTCCAGCAGCGACTAAAAACATCAGTAGGTTTCCAGTCAGGGTGATTCTGGCATTAAATACTGCTCTGGCATTATCAACATTCTTCTCATAACAAATCCCATCCTGAACCTAAACCACAGCTATTCTAGCTACTAAGAAGATGATTAACTCTATCCAAGCAAACCCAGGACAGTACTTTGACCATTTGCAGTCCTCACGTTTTCATCCCTGTGAACACACAGTGCTTTTATTCTTTGGTTTTTGGATCTTCCTAATTCCTCAGCCCCAGTGATATTTTGTGGAAAAGCATTTGAGGGGAGATTGTGTAATCTGATGTCTTTTTATGTGTTTCCTCTTAACAGTCTGAAATGTTATCAGATTTGAGTTTGCTTGGGTATTGCCTTGCTCCCATATTCTGAGAGAGGAAACAACTTGCCTAACCCACGTGTAGATCAGCCATGACTTTTAAGTATCTCTCTCTCTCAATTTCTCCCTCATTTGTCTCTCAGCCTGCTCAGCTGTCCCACTGTGCTGTTTGGGGAGAGGGAGTTACAAGGCATGACCTTGTCTCGATTCATAACTTTGTTAGTTTTGGCATTCTATGTATTTTTAAATATAGCTTTTCCTTTTATAGGGTTAAGTATTTCTGTTTTAAGAGCCTGCAGAAGCACACATTGCCCTGTTCTCCTATCTTAGGCTCAGCAGCTGATCAGCACAAGGCTGTAGATCAGAACTGACTTCTGGCTTCTTCAGACACCAGTTAGAGGAGGCGATGCTGAAATGGTTTGACCAAGGAGATGACTGGGGATGGTATTTCTGTTAAATGTCATTTCTGGAGAATTCACAGTTTTGAGAGGCTGAGTGGATCCCAGCAGGTAAAACTCTGGAGAAAAGAGGGACAAGAGCAGAATGAAAAGCTCTCACGTTTTCTTTCCCCTCTTCCCCTCAGCATTGTCTTTCTAATGCTGCCATTTAAAGATTGAATGTCCATCCAGGGGCTGAATTTAATACATAATGTTGATTTAGGTCATGGCTATAAGATTGTCCATCCATCCATTCATCCATCTGGCACAAAGCAATAAATACCAAATCTGTCTGAAATGACAGGCCAGCCTCTCTGCTCACTGGCTGAAGGAAATGTGCTCCTATTGTGGTGTGATAGCCTGGCTGGCCTTGACAGTGGATTCCAAGAATCACAAGTTCATGCTCTGTCAGCCAGTGCAAACATCCATCCATCAAATATTCCCCACTTCTTATACCCAGAAGATGGAACCAAGGAAACATTAGGAAATGAGTGTCAAAGGGAGATTATCTGCTTTAATACATGTGTTCTCTAAGCTGGGAGACAGAGAGCTGGGATGGTTGCACTCCTGTGGTCTCAGAGGTCACCAGAACTCTGGGAACACGCTTGGATCATTGAGGTCTGAAGTAGTATAGAGATCTTTATCCTCATTTTTTTGGCTGTACCTTGCTCTCCAACAGAGACTGTAGCTCAGAGTTTTTAAAGTTTGAGCTATTGCTTGTTATAAACCAGGAATAGTTTATTAAACAAGGTCTGGGTTAGTGCTTGAGTGGCCATACGAAACAGTAATATCACTCAGCAGCCCAGTTTTCCAAGGGGAGTGATCCTGACCTACTCATTATTGCATTGTGTGGCTGTGACATCCTCCTTTCTGGGCTGGAAACCCCCAAACCAAGATTAAAGGTAATCTTAAAGGGTCCCTGCAGTTTCTAACACAGTTAGTCCTTGTCCCTGTGTCTTCATCGAATTCCAGTTTCATTCTTTATGCCCCCTCTCAGGCTCCTTGCTGGGACCCAGTACTTCACTGGTCTCTAGCTTCCCAGCCTGCAGAGTCCCATGGGATGGGAGATTGTGTGGAGAAAGGAAGGAAGGGCACTTCCTTTGGGTGGACAGGGGGGTCCAAGGTCAGAAGGGGGAAGCCTGTGAAAGTTGGAAAGTGGGAGCAAGGGATGAAGTTCAGAGGAGAGGCATCAGCTGGGGGAAGAAAGGGTTTTCTTTGGGCTAGGCATCTACATCTTAAGAGAGCTGAGTACCCACAGGAGATGTTTGCAGAGATGGTTAGCAGTGGGTTCTCAATGTTTCTCAAGACCTTGCCTCTTAAAAAGCCTTTCAGGGCCCTGTTAGGGCATGGACAAGCAATCAGATGCTCAGGGGACAGGTTTTGCTCCCCTTTTCCTACCGAGTTGGCCTCATGTCACAAGTGGCCTCTTTGGGTGCAGAGCTGTGCTAAGGAATGCAAGGAGGGAGCATTTCCATTGCAAGAGGTTGGAAGCTCTGCTTTCTGGCCAGCTCTTCCCAGTCTTTGGTAGGGGAGCTGGAGGGGGTTTCTGTTAGCCAGTCAATCAATCATTTCCCAATGTCTGTTATTTATCCCCCTGGCTCAGCCCTCCCCTCATCCCTGCCACTCTGGGCAATGGGAACGGTTGTGATTTCTGAGCAGCAGAGGCTGGCGGGCAGCATGATCGATGCTAGCAGCTCATTCTCAGCCACGTGAGAGGAGAAACAACAAGGAGAGATGGAGTTTTAGAACTTTATTAGGAGAAACATAGGCACGATTGACTAAAATCTCATCTAAAGGAGAGCACGCTGGTCTTTTCAGGGTTAAAAAATATACAGGTATAAAACACCTTACAAACACAAAATGGTTTCCCCCCCTCTATGTGTGAGTATGTTTATGTACAGGGAACTGTACCAAAGCCAACTGTGTATCAGGAGCAAGGATTCACAGTCCCTTTCAGCAGCCCCTAAGAGAGGGAATGGCTCAGTCCCATCAGAAGCTGGTCCCAGGCCATTCTCTCGCGCAGTCCAATGTTGGGGAGCTGTGTCCCGTGTCTGAAAGGGCAGTGCAGGGTCAACAATAGGCAGCAGCTTCCGTTTGTTCAGTAAATATCTTTAAAAGGATGTCAGCTCTGCAGTGAGAAAATGTATCTGGAGTGGGAGCTGCCTACAGACCTCACCCACCAGACTTGCTGTGCAGTGTTGGGCCCCCATGGCTGCTCTGAGAGGCTACAGGTGTGGAAAGAGCTGGTCCATGGCTGGTATCTTATGCCATACGCACTAGGGATGGAGTGGAGATGAAGATGACCTGATGGCAGAACAGGGACTTGCTGTGAGGACAAATATCTTGGCTTGTGCTGGCTGACAGGCTTGAGAGAGCAGCCAAAAGCTGAATGATGTATAGGACCAGAGAGGTTGTGGAGTCTCCATCTCTGGAGATGTTCAGAACCCACCTGGACACTTTCCTGTGCAACCTGGTGTAGGGAGCCTGCTTTGGCAGGGGGGCTGGACTGGATGATCTCCTGAGGTCCCTTCCAACCCCACCATTCTGGGATTCTGTGTGATTCTGTGACCTGGAGAGGACTCTTGCTCTTTGCAAAAGATGCTGAAGTGTTTTGGTAGGTTAGTGAGAGAAGACGCAGGCCGTAACTCTCCTGCAGATAAACAGAGGTTGTTTTTTCTCTCAAGTCAGCAGCTAGCAGCACCTTTTCAGCAGCATTCGTGTTACTTGAAGGATGACTTTAAAAAGGGGAAAAATCACTTGGATTTCACATGGTAATTCATCATTTTTTTTACTAGTAGGATATTTGTTCTCACAGGAGAGTCTCTATTTCTGTTAACGGATGTCTTGTTTAAAATTGATGACATAAGTATCTTGGGAACATTCCCTAATCTTCATCAACTGGCCATCTAAGTGATATCCCTGGGCCAGTCTGCTGTGCTGAGTTAGGAATGAGGAAGGGATTCCAACATTAAACATGAGGCAGCTGTGTGTGGGGGACCACGGACGTCCTTATCTGTGGGGAAGAGTTATATACACAGTGTCGAAAAATTCAAGTAGGATTTATTGTATAGGTAAACTGGTATAAAATATCTGGGCTCAGGTAGAGAAAGGGAGGGTGAGGAAGAGCGAGAACAAAGCAGATGAGAAAGTCTTTCTTTCAGAAAGCCTACCAGTATGTTTCTGTTCCCTGCAGGTAAGAGAAGCTTCAGCTCAGTATAATTGCCAAGCTGATGTAGCAAATGTTGAACAGACACCAAAGAAGATGCAAGATGGGGTTGAGGTCCAGTCAGTCAGTTGAATACAGTGTCGCAGTGGATGCCTGCTGGGCAGCCTCAGGAGTCTGCTGGCCTGTGCTCTACCAGCCTAAGGATGGTGAGTCTCCAATCCCTGAGGGTTCTGTGATGAAAATATGGCCAAGAGCTTCACATCTCTAGATTGGTGCCTTTCTTCAGTGCGTGTCTCCCCGTGGCTGCCCCTGCCTTAAGTGTGAGAGGTGCTGTTTGCAACATAACAATGATGTTCACCAAAAAGGAGCAAGAGGGTGTTAAAACAGAGAGAGGTTAGTGGCAGGAGTCTGGAGTCCACCTTGCAAAAGTTTTCTTAAGCACTAAGACTGCTCCTTCTCCTCATCCCTCCTGGAGACAGGTCACACAGACAAATCATCCGACCTCGCCTTGCTGCTGGCACGGCTGGGCTTGCTGAAACGGCGTTTCTCGTTGAAGTAGTTTTCAGGGAAGGTGGGTGCTGCACATTCGTTGGCCACCTCTGGGCTCTCAGCATAGCTGGACTTAAGGAAGGGCCCTTCTCCAGCAGCATTCTCCTGGACGTGGACCCTCTCGGTGGCAAAGTTGGCGGTGTTCTGTTGGGAGGCCATCTTGTTGCTGAAGGGGCTTATGAATTTCCCATTGGGACTTGACAAGCACTGGTTAAAATCTGGTGGAGGAGTGTACATCTGGGCCCTTTCTACTTGTGGGGCGGACTCTAGTCTGCCAGGAGCTGTGTTGGGGCTGGGTTTGTAAGACCGGGAGCACCTCTCTTTGGCTTTCTTCCAGCCCAAGTGGTACAACTCAGCCAGACTGAGGAACAGGGAGAGCACTGCAACAGCCAGCATGAAGACAATGAACACGTTCTTCTCTGTGGGGCGGGAAACGTAGCAGTTGACAGGGTGGGGGCAAGGGGCTCGCTGGCAGATATACAGGGTCTCCAGGAAGATCCCATACAAGATGTACTGTCCCACAATGAAGGCCACTTCCATGGCAGTGCGAATCAAAATGCTGTAGACGTAGGTGTTCAGCAGACTGCCTCTGAGTATGATTTTGCCTCCTGATTCATCCCAGCAAGACAGCTCAGCCTTCTCTGCCACAGGGCACTTCTGCTGGTAGTAGGTGTCACCGTTGTTTTTCATCTCCTGGGCTTCTAATTCTGCCTCCTTCATCTTCCTCTTCTCTTCCATGCGCACCGTGTGCATCGCGTGGCCCATATACACCAGTGATGGGGTGGAGACAAAGATGATCTGGAGGACCCAAAACCGGACATGGGAGATGGGGAAAGCTTTGTCGTAGCAGACGTTCTCGCAGCCAGGCTGCTGGGTGTCACACATGAAGTCAGACTGCTCATCTCCCCAGGAGGACTCGGCTGCTGTACCCAACACCAGCATCCGAAAGATGAAGAGCACAGTCAGCCAGACTTTCCCCACCACTGTAGAGTGTTTGTGGACCTCCTCGAGGAACTCTCCCAGGAAACTCCAGTCTCCCATTTCTGCTCACCAAGAAGGGTGAGAAGTCTTGAAGGAAGAATTGGATGCAGCCTCTGTGGGAGAAAATAGAAGAGAGTATTTCTAAGGAGGGTTAGGAAATGACCAGCTGGGAATATATGGAATGAAATGATTTGTTTTGTGTCAAAGGAAATCTTTTAATTTGACCTGAAATGATTGAGGTCTGATTTGCTGACAACGTTTTTCACATCCACTAAAAACAGTGTATTGTTTTGTTTTCTTTTATTCAGCTACTGAAACAAAAACTGATTTATTTATTTATTTTGCATAATCCAACTACAACCTGTTAGACAGGCTCCAAAACTTGGAGGGTGAGCCAGATTTCTTTTTTCTTGGTTCAGAAAGTCCTTTCCCTGCGGTCTGAATATTGCATCCCCTGTGGGCTGTGTAGTTCAAGTGGAATTCATCTGTCTGCAAACTGTGCTCTGGGGAATCCTTAATGGGTTGATCCTCTGGGAGATAAGACTGGAGTCTACAGGTTGGTCTGAGCAGTGCCTTGGCACTTTCATATGTCACCTTTCTGTAATACCTGCACTGACACCTGGAATGTGAAGTGTTTGCAGCTCTGGGTTTCATTTCTGAGCTGAAAGAAATACAGAGGAAACCTTCCTGTTGCCCACCTGCTCCTTGCCCATAGGTTTTGCTTTGGTTTTGCAGTGTTGCCAGTTGTTAAGTGTTTCATTTACAAGCTGCAAATGTTTTGGGGAGTGTAAAGACTTTGGTGAGGTGTGCCAGTCTTGTAAACTTAATCTGCTGTCACCCTGTCACATCTCTCTGAAAAGGAACTGCTGCAGAATCTAAGTGGTGGATCTTGCTTCCTCCTCTTTTCTTAAGCTCTGAGACAAAATTCACAGTTCAAATGACACTGGCAAAGGAAAAAAAACTCCTTTGAGATCCCTCCCAAGGACCAGCATCTCCTGGGAACTGCTGTTTGGTAGGTGGTCTGATGAGAGGAAAGGTTTGGTGGCCTGGTAGTAAGATTGCAATGTGAAGACGTAGGAGAACCTGTTTCAGTTTTGTTTCTGACCCTGACAGACTGTTTCTGGCCAAGTCACTCCTGGATAAAAAGAGAATGATGAGTTTAATCCATCTTTTGTGGGGCTCTGTGGGAGTGCTTGAGCAATCATTTGATCTAGTTATACTCACCATGCTTACCTTCCCAGGGCACTACAAAGCTGTCCCTTGTGCACGAGTTAAGGGCTAGGGGCTATAAAGTGTGCAGTATCACCTTGGAGATAATGTTCTCCCATAGTCATAATGTTCTCCTATCGTCACTCTTTTTGAAAATATCCTTTTAATAAATAAATGAAAAACTTAATAATCATCACAATGAAATATGAAAAGCACTAGACAAGGTAAATCACAAAGCCATAGGGACCAAAAGTGTTAACTCTCCTTCTTTATTGTCCCTTGTCTTGTCTTTAAGAGCCAATTATTTTTACCGTACAAAGAACGTCTGTGGAGAGTAGAGACTGTTAAGTGCTGAGAATTTATTGCAGCAATATTGTGTAGATTTCTTGTGAGCAAAAGCTGGAGACCAGAGAGAGGTGCTTGTTGAGGGAACGATATCCCCTCCTCTGGTTCTATATGTGATATAATTTAATGTAGCGGTGCACGCGATGGTTTATGTGCAACGTCCATCTGCAAGGATGGGTGGGACAAAGATCAAAAGTCAAATCCTTAAACTCCTGGTGCTACTGAGGGCTGCCCTGAGGAAAGATGAGGATTGTCCAGGCAGGGAGATGCCCACTTGCTGCCCCACCCCAGTTGGAAGCTGTGTGAGGAGGGAGAAGGGGCATATCAAGAAGCAAAGGCTGGGCTTTGGCTCTTTCCTGCTTTGGCAGGCATGCTGCCATCGTGCTGGTGTAGACCCTGGTGACTGCTTGGCATATGCCAAACTTTCATCTGCTGCCAGCCCACAACTGGAGGAGCAGTAACACAGAAAATCAGCTCGTCTTTGTAACTCCTCTTTGTCTGCACTGGTTAAAACTGGTGAATCTGTGGGTCTGTCTTATCTTCCGAAATGGCTTTGGTGCAGTTGCTGCATTCTGGAGAAATTAGTGTATAACTTCATTCTGTGGGCACTGGGAGATTACATCCAGGCAGATAAATCAGTGATGGGAAATATTTACAGACAGTCACATTGAAATTAGGTTTTTAAATTTTATTTTCTTTTTCCAGAGCGCAGACAAGGCAACCAGCTACCTACAGTTCACTGTACAGGAGCATCCAAGGCAATATGGTATAGCACAACTGTACATGTGGAATGTTCCTTCCTGGACAGCATGAACAATGGTGTGTGGCCTCATTTTTCCAGGTAAGTTTGTGTTGTTTGCAGTGCTCCTCTTGTTCCTGCTGTTGCTAGTTGACAGCTGCCTTTTCTTGATTCACCTTGCTTGTTGAGTTAAAAATGAACACAATTCTCCCTGACTGTGCCAAGGATGAATTTTCCTTCCTTCCATGTGCCTGTACAATCAAAGGCTGAGCACCTCTTCCCATCAGTTCTACCATGTGCAGGTAGTTTGTAGTTTTATTATGGCTTGTTTTCCACAGGGAAGGGACACCTAGACATTTACAAATTGTAAAACTCAATGTATACAGAATATAAAGTTGGTAAACATAAGTGCAAGAGAGTCCAGAAATAAAAATGTTAATGGATGTGAGAATAACAGTACTTTAGCTGCCTCACAGATGCATGGTATTTTCCAAAAGGAGGTAAATCAGAAGGACCCAAGGCTGGCAGCCAGATTAGTGCCCTTCCCTCTGCCCTTCCTGCTGCCTGCTCCCCTGCACAGGCTGTTTAAAGGAGGAGCTGCCCATGGAGCTGAATATCTCCTGATCATCCTGCTACAGCCCCACAGAGAGCCGGGTGGCTGCTGTAAAGGGTAGGTGGCCACAGAAAAATGGGTGCTGGATACCTGAGAAAGGGTTTCTCTCCTCACATAGTGTTTTTGGCTTAGATATCTTTTACTTATTAGTAAGCTGCTATTGCAATGCCAGTCCAAAGGCCTTCTAGAACAGAAGAGAACATCTAGCTCTCTGCTGCCCGCAAGCAAAGGATTGTTGTCACCTCCTGACAGCTTTTCCTGGCTATTCAGAACTGCCTCTGACCTAGCCTTGCTTCCCAGGGCTTTACTGCTCTTGGGAATTTTCCATATAGTTCCCTTTCCTCATTCCCAGACTACTTCTATTCCTGTATGCTTTGACCTCTCGCTGCACGAGCATCTGCATTCTTTTATATTCCTAGTTTGGACTCAATTGGCTAAATCTTGTCTCACTCTGATGTGACTTGGTGAAAAACACCTCTGGGTATCTTTGTGGGGTCTCAGCACCTGATAAGCAGACTGTCTTGACAGCGGAGTCATGCATATTCATGCAGAGTCGTGGGCTGTGCCACTGCCTGGCCATGCTTTTGGCTGTCAGCTTTCTGCTGGATCAACAAAGGAGCTGTGTGCTGTCACGGGATCTCGGCACCAAGGAACGCCTGTGTGACAAAGACCAGCACAGCCTGGCACAAACCCAGCAACGTGGCTGTCCCAGCTTAATCATCACCTGGAACATAATTAAAGCTGAAGAAAACTGAATATCACACCACAGGCCAGGCGTAGAGTCCACCCAGCTCCAGGCTGTCTTGTGACTGCCAAATTCCATGATAAAAATACCCCAGTGGGGTTGACACCTGCTGGTACACCAGGCCAGCTCACCAGCCATGGGCTGCTCTTTGCCACCCTTTTTTTTGCTACCTTTTTCTGCAGGAGGGGAAGCATCTGTCACCCTCGGAGCAGTTTTTCTGGTCCTCTTCATGATGCTGTATGCTCTGAATGACAGACAAGCATTTTGCATCGCTCTCACTCACTCTGACCAGTACACTTGTTTTGGAGGGACAAGCCAAGGCTTTGGGGAACAGCTAAAAAGTTCATACCAAAGAGGCAGGAGGGCTGTTCCTATGCAATCCTCTTCTATATATGAATTTATTTCCCCTGGAATTTTTAGGAAGCATATTTTCCCCTCTTTAGAAGACAGGCAAGACTATCAGCAGTGATATAAATAGCTGAGCTTGACGCTTCACGCTAACTTTTCCCACAAGGAAGGTGACAGGAGGTCGCCATCTCTGCAGGATGTTTCTAAAATAAAGTGGAGAGCCTAATTATGACACTGTTTCTGCCCTCCCTTGCTGAGCTTACCTCTTCCCTTTGGCAGGTCCCAGGCATATGGAGAAGCTCTCCAAGGAAGGCTTTGTGTGGGGGAAGCATGGTTCCCAGGGAGGGGGAAAGTAACAAAGTCAAAGCTATTTTATTTTTGGCCAGTCTGTGTGTGTGATTTGCTCCATTTGTATCTGTTAGTTAATGAGATGTCCCAATGGACCAGAAGGCCAGGGCCCAAGATGTCATGAAGAGGCTCACACACCAGACACAGGGCTGTGTGTGGAGGAAGTGAGGCAAGTCCATCCCCTCTGAGCTCCCAGATAGGGAGGCAGCCATCTCTTTGGGTGCTGGGCACATGAGAATTGACAGCCCCATGCAGTGGGGCATCCAGGACAGCTGTGTCATGGTCAGTGCCTAGGAATTGCTTGTGGCCTTCCTTCCTCTGGCTGTGTCACCTCCTAGCAGGTCCAGGTGAGCACGTGGTGTGAGAGATAGCTACTGGAGGCTATGGGTGCAGAGATCTTTCCCATTGCATTGGCAACTGTCAGGCTGCAGCTGACCCTGAGTGGTCCCCCCACTGCAAAACTGGATGCTTGCACCTGTAGACACATAGGAAGGACACCTTCAGCTCTGCACTGGAGGTTAGTAAAACACTGTTTTACTTCAGGATCTCCAGCCTCCTGTTAGCAGCAGTCCAGCCTTGCAGCATCCCATGCAGCGCAGGTACTGTCATCTTTATCTTGCAGGCGGTGATCACTGGGGTACAGAAAGGGCAAACTGCTTGTTCAAGGTCACTGTGTTGGTGGCAGGCTGGGGACAGAGCTCAGGGCTTGTGATTTGCAAACTTGTGTTCTTTTTTTTTTTCTATGCAGCACTGCCTCTTAGACTTG